CTACTTTGAAAGAAGCTCGTTTTCACTTGTTTTTTTTTCGACAACACATCTAACTTCTTTTTATACAATGTAATTGAATTCAATTTTTTTTTTTCGGATACTAAATTAATTCTATTTTTATCTTATACTTTACTCATGATTATTATTTTTTAGTTGCTCCATAATTTTTTTTTAAAATGTGAAGACATCAACACAAATGGTCTGCTACACGCATGCGGGTTTGCCACACAAAAGTTTTTCAAAATTTGAGTTGTCACACATCAAAATAAAGTTGAATTATCATCTTGATTTATGTGATCCATAAGTTCATTTCAATCTTGATTTGTGTGGTGGAGAAAATAGAAAACTCATCTTTAGTTGTTCATTTGTAAACTTGCCCGTCTATAAAACATTAGGGGCAATATTGTTTGCCTAAAACATACACCTCCATTTTCTCCTAACAAGTAGTAATGGATAGAAACCCAAACTTACCAAATTTCAATATGTCTAATTCTTTTGAGGACGATAGTCCCTCTTCATTAAATTCTCGTTATAGCAGGAGTATACCTCTCGTGCTGCCCCAATTTCCTGGAATGCAATTACAGTTCGAATTCTAAAATATTCCATATCAACAAATTCTTTCGTTTCCAATATCCCAAAATTTAGAACATCTTGTCTACCCACAACAACAAAATGCAATGAATATGAATCAATCTCAGAGGATTAATTTTACTTCCCCATTTAGCTACTCTAGGTTGGGGGGTAGGCATATGTGGTCAATGACATCCCAATATGGAATGCCAAATTCATATGGCATGCCTTTTCAGCATGGTATTTTCATACCAACAGCTATGAGCAATGAGCATACCGGCTCACAGAATCCCCTAAGAGCCACGGGGCCAGAGGTTGAAAGTCTTGACAATATTTGTCTAAATACGGAGACAGAGAAAAATAAGGAACCTGAGCCAAAAAGACGTGGTAAAGCATCGGCAATATCGTGGACACATGAGGAAGATATGTTGCTTTGTTGTGCATTTTGTACTATCTCGAGTGATCCTATTGTCGGTGCTCAACAAAGTTCTGAAGGCTTCTGGAAACGAATCGCTCAATATTATAATGAAACAGCTCAAGCTAGAAACTTGCTTGAGAGATCTATGGATTCAACAAAATCTCATTTCTATGCTTTTCATGGAGATTGCCTTAAATTTAATGCATCCATAAACAGGTTCCGAGCTGACCAAAGGAGTGGTGAAAATGATGCTATTGTGTTACAAAATACATTAACAGAGTGTAATAGTGAAGGGAAAAGAAAATGAGCCTTGAAGTGGCTTCACTGTTGGGAGATTCTGAAAAACAGTCCAAAATTCAAGGGACTGGTCGAGCAGTTCGTGGAGGAAAGAAATCTAGAACATCAGAGTCAGGAGATCACACTTCTGGATCTGGACAGGATGTGGAGCATGCTGGTGATGATGACGATAGATACGTGCGTCGCCCCATCGGCCAAAAGGCAGCGAAGGCTGCAAAGAGAAAAGGAAAAAGTGGCATAGGGAGTAGCACTTAACAAAGAGCAGAACGCATGTTGGATGCATTTGGACAAATTATGAATATGCACGAGAAACAACAGAAGGAGATAAAAAAAATTGGTACGCATTGAATCATGGAAAATCTATAGAGAAATGTTAAAGGAAGACACTTCAATTATGACTGAAGTAGAATTAGAAGCTCACTATGGGCTTCTTGCAGAATTGAAAGAAGAGTTGGGCCTCAATTAAATTTGACAATGCATTTTATTTTATGTTTATCTTGTTTTATTTGGAAGAATATGTACTTGAATTTATTTTTATGTATTTGTATCGTGTTTAATTTTAATGTTAGTCATTTCTATTTTTCATCTACCATGTTCAATGTCTCCAACCAACCATCTTCACCACTATCATTTACACACTACTATCTTCACCAAACAAAATAAATGTCTACCACTTGTAAAATAAATGCCTACCAACCAAATTAACATCTCATCTTCTCATTATAAAATGGAGCATTTGGAGGATTCATTTGGACACCACCATCTTCACCAACAATATCATCTTTTGCTTCTTCTTTACTCTTTTTTTCCTCAAGTATCTGTATTTCATCTTCTTTAATTTTTAGTAAAATGTCTAGACGTACTAATGACATAGTAGCATATCGTGCGCTCTTAAAAAATATGCTTGATGATTCTCTCGCAAAGGCTGAATTTGCCTTGATGGAGGCAGCTATTAATGAGTTCGAAGAATCCGAACAAGCTGAAAATTCAACAAGACGAGAAAGGCGAGTAGTGCACCGAGATCGTGATGCTGGACACACTCTACTAGTAAGAGATTATTTTTCTAACGAACCCACCTATCACGAGGGCTTCTTTCGCGTAGATTTCGTATGTCTAGACGTTTATTTTCTCGTATTGTTGATTCTATTGAAAATCATTATGATAATTTCAAGAGCAGAGAAGATGCGATTGGTAGAAAAAGCTTTACACCTATTCAAAAGTGTACTGCTGCTATACACCAATTGGCATATGGAGCACCTGCCGATCAGTGTGATGAATACTTACGCATGTCAGAACAAACAGCTAATAAAAGTCTCATTGAGTTTTGTCGGAGCGTACGACAAATATTTGCTTCCCAATACTTGCGTTCACCCAATGATGCTGACATTCAACGGCTACTTGTATTACATGAGGGAAAACATGGTTTTTCGGGAATGCTGGAGAGTCTTTATTGTATGCATTGAGAATGGAAAAATTATCCAATGGGTTGGCAGGGCTCATACACGAGAGGGGATCATGGAGTACCCACTATAATGCTTGAAGCAGTAGCCTCACAAGAGTTGTAGATCTGGCATGCCTTTTTTGGACTCGCCGGATCACGAAATGATATTAATGTGTTACACGAGTCTCCACTATTCAATGATGTCTTACATGGGGTAGCACCTGAGGTGAATTTTACAGTAAATGGTACCCACTATAGTAAAGGTTACTACTTAACAGATGATATCTATCCGGAATGGGTAACGTTTGTTAAAAGCTTTCAGTGTCCAAAGGATCCGAAGGGGAAAAAGTTTAAGCAACGACAAGAGGCTGCAAGAACAGATGTTGAACGTGCTTTCGGTGTGCTCCAGTCAAGATGGGCTATTGTACGTGGTCCAGCTTGTTTTTTGTACATAAAGAACTCAGTAAAATAATGTTGTCTTGTATTATTTTACATAATATGATAATTGAGGACGAGGGTGAGGAGGCAACCAATTGGTCCAATGATGATGGTGAACCGCCTATCCAAACACACCAAGGTCATCCAACAAATTTTCGTCGATACTTGCAAATAAGAACTGAAATGCAAGATAGACAAGTCCATCATCAACTTAGGCATGACCTAGTTGAACATATATGGAACGAACCTGATCATTAGGAGTAATATATCGATGAGTTTATGTACGCAAATTTTAATTTTTATTTGCATGTAATTTTTTATATTTTATATTATTGTAAGGTTTATGTGTAATAAAATTTTTCTTTATTTTATTTTTTAAGTAATAATTGTACGTAAAAAATATTTCAAAAAATAATTATAAATATTATTATGATATATAATAAATGTGTCATTGTAAAAAATAATGAGTAAAATTTTTAGTAAATATGAATTAAATTTATGGTTATTAACGGTTTGTGATATTAGAGCATCCACAATACTTTGGGTCTCTTTATGCATATGTGGCAAATAAATAGATTTAAGTCTATAATGATATGGACAAACCCAAGCTAAAAAATCTAAAATCTATCCAATGCAAAAAAAAAAGTACTAGGTCTAAATACCTAACAACCAATAAAAATATAATAATAGTAAATGATTGCTATTGCAAGGTTCATACTTGAGTCTAAAATAGACCCACCTAACAACCAATAAAAATATAATAATAGTAAATGATTGCTATTGTAATGTTCATACTTGAGTCTAAAATAGACTCAAGAGTGGACTCGGTCTCTTTTTTTTTTATTGGCACATAAGCTAAACTAGGTCCACTTTTAATTGCATTGTGAAATACTTTTTTATAGACTATGTATATTTCCTACATGACATGTGATTTTTTTTAAAGAGATCCAAAATATTGTGGGTGCTATTNTTCAAAATTTAACTAAATTAAACTCTTCTATTTTTTATAAAACTTTATTCAAAACATATTCCATGGACGAAAAATAATTCTGTCGGTGAAATAAAAGAGTGGAAGAATTAATGTTTTTAATAATATAAATTGATGTTACTATAAAATGTGGTATTTAATTAAAACTAGTAGTACTATTAGACGGGTGTGAATGTTTTGATTTAGATTTTTAAATACTTTTTTAAATACAATATTTTTTATTTTTATTTAAAATGACATTCATTACCTTTAAGATTTGTACGTCCTATTTTATAATAAGATAGAGATGATTTTAATTTTATACATTTTTTTTATATATATATATTTTCGTGTGTTTAATAATGTTGAGCCATTCGCATTTGAGTTCATTTTAAAAGCTTCTCGATCCATTAGGTTGTAGCTTATTTTTTTTTTATTTTTTGATAATATTTTTTTAGGAAAAGAAAATTCAAATAAATTTCTTCATTTTCGATTGCTTCAAAATTTTGTGGGGATGCTGCGATGATGGCTGCCGATGGCACGCCCAACTGTTTGTCGAGACAGCTAATCTTACAAGCGCGTGTTTTCTAATGACATAGGATATATTTTCATGTAAGTTTTGAATGAATATAAAGGCAAATGTATCTCAAGGACCAGGCATTCCAAAAATTCCCAAACACACATACAAACAAGTCGATCATAAAAGGTCTCAGAGCACCAAGAAACCATTGTATGTGTACGTTTTCTTAAGCTTTCTTCATTTTGCCTTTATTTGTGTTTCAATTGCTGAACCTTTGGTTAGGAAAATAAAAATTATTGCGATTCCATCTGAATTCATCTACATACCTAAGGCTCAGTGATTTTCAATTTCCATCTTGAATTCATCGTACGTGATGTACATTTTGTTCGTTAACACCAAAATCTTTGGGTTCGAGGCATGGCTAAATGGTGCCTCCGCCCTCACAAAACCACCACAAGAAAAGCTTGGCAAATTAAAGTCGATACATACACACGACATGACGCCAATAACGAAATTGTTACATGGAATAGTATATATAACACTCTTCGTACTTGATAATACAAACCAACAGGCGAAAAAATCGACCACTCAGTCAGTCTTTCTCTAATCTGATCAACGAAAAGTGTACATTTATATGATATTCCCTAAAAAAAAAAAAAACTATTTCGAGAGAGCTTACTGTTTTAGGGTGTCCCCACCAACTTCAAAATACTTGATATGACATAGCTTCCCACCAGCTTCGTCTGCAAACACAATCTTTCTCCTCTCTCTTGAAGCAGCACCTTTGGAGTCTGGGCTGTTGTTTGGAGTCAGTTTCTACAGTATGAGGAAAAAATAACTAGAATCAGGGGCGATGTTTGAAATCTCATCTATAAATTCATCAATATTTTCTTTCAGACATTAATGAGAATCATTTCCCTGGAAAAAGTGATTTGTCTAACTGTAATGCACATCAGATTGGTATTGATATTTCTACATTTTCAAATATCTGCAAAAATTTAATTGGAGTCCACACTTAAAAGTTTCTAGTGTACTAGTTGAGTATAAAGAGAGGAACAGAATGCAGAACCATTATTGTACAAAATCGTCTGCAGTCACGGGTCATTGTGGACAGCCACTTGCGTGCTGTTTCCTCCATTTTTGAAGCACTATTGATTGCTGATTTCACCTGTAAAGAAAGAGAGCTATTAATTTGAGAACACACCGGTATCTCATAGCTATTTGAATGCAAAATGCTCTTTTATGCAATTTAGGGAAACTAAAAAACAAAAGGCACAACATGGGTGCAAAATGCAGTTAGGACTAATTAATAATAACAGATTTCTTTATACCAGTTTAACATTACAATGTAGAACAGTTAAACAAATCATTTCTTTATGTCTGGTAAAATAACCTTAAAAGCAGATGCATTATGCAAGAGATTCCAATACTGATGTACTATTAATGCAAGTGTTCACTATAAGATGCAACCACAAACAACATTAAAATACATGTTCCTACCATCACTAGAGCTGAAAAGAAGTAGCTATGGTAAAGAAAAGGATAAAATTTAAAGGGGTGAAGGTCTTGATTATTCTGAATACAATAGTCATTATCATGAGCCTTTTGAACCAATGTGCCATTTTCTAGAATATGGCAACGGGAAGAATCATAAAGTAACCGCGTTGGAGTGTAACATAACCTAAAGGCTAAAGTGCATCACACATACCTCATCTGCATCACTTTTCAAGGAAACATTTCTGTATGCTTCAAAAAGCAACTTTTGTTCAACAATGGACTTCATTGAGTCCAACTCATCCATCAGCTTAAATGTAAGAGACTCCATGTCTTGCATCTGCCTCTGTGAAAATGCGATAGCGCTCTCAGAACAACCTTGAATGGATGTACACTCAGTACTAATGTTAGGTAGGACGCGAGAGTAACGAGGACCCTCAAGGTTGACTTTGGATTTGAGAGACTTCTTTACAATGTGTCTGGGACTAATGTAGATCTTTCTCTGTCTAATATGCCCATTCCCTACATGATTAACAGCTCTTTTAGCATGGTGGATATCTGATCTTGCAGATGAATCTTTCTTTGCAGCTTCCACTACATGGAGCTGCTCCTTGTGTTCAGAACCAACTGGGAACATCAAAATGTGAAGTTAAAAAAGACGTAAAAACAGAGAGATGTTTCAATTTATTTTTCATTTGTCGACTTTCAGAGTAGGATGATCAGGGAGTTAATGGGATGATATGTTGATGAAATACGAACTTATATGCATAATTGCACGACCCCAAAAAAAGTTCAAACACCACAACCTTACATCTGTACAATCTCTACACTGTTATATACCTAGTAATAACATTTGAAGAAACGCTTCCTAGTTCAACCTCAAAAAAGTCATTTTCTTTTTCTGCAGTTGAAACTTGAAAAGATTATCTCTTTGCCCATAAACATGCTATGTTCAACATTCTCATAAGAAAGTCACCTTATCAATAAAGCATTCTTGATCAACAGAATAGGGTTCTTGAAATTCAATAATTCATACAATATCTTATATACCATCAAAAGAAATTAATGCATTTCACTTACTATATTGGCCAGCACCATTGCAAAGGTCATCATCTGATTTCATCGCCGAGCATAATCTCTCTTGAGAAGAAGGAGAGATTGCCTGCAATTTCGACCATTAAACCTAAATAGTTCGAGCATACATATGTAAAACAACACAATAGAGAAGAAAAATGTTCCCAACCTTTCGTGTAGAAAGAAGCCTTTCCGGAGGCCGACAGGATTCTATCGTTGAATCCATATCCACACAATCCAAGCTTTGGTTCTTTGGAAAAGACCGACATTCATTATAAGCGTTCAGAGATTCCAAAGCTTGCTTCTCATCCATCAATAGATCATTCATGCTACTTCTACAGGTCAAGCCACTTTCTGTCATGTCATCCAAGGTACATGTCAATGGGTGCTGTTCATCCGGTACAGCCAATGGAACTAATGTTTCATCAGCCTTCAAGGAATTAACAGAAATTCGGGAAGGGCTGCAGTTCTTGTTTAGGCTACTTAGAGAATAATCTTGCTCACATGTCAAACCTCCCATATCAATATTTGACACACAAGAACTACTATTTTGCTCGGATATTTCTTCCAGCACCTCATGGCAGAGCAATTCTGTATTTTCCGAAGCATCATTTGTGCCATCTGAAGGATCAAACATAGAGATAGGCTCAATGTCCAACAAATTATCATAGGAGATCTTATTAGTTACACAATTTTGGCATCCGTCTAGAGGGGACAGTGGTTCTCTTGTTTCAGGTTGCACTTTTATGGTCTGGATATCACTTGATACTTCACGACATGGCACCTCAACACTGCAACAGGATGGTTCACCAGAAACGGAAGTTTCCTTTGGGATTTCCAGTTCCATAGCATCATCCTCATCTTTGACAGGAATATTTGGAGTCAAGTCACTACCAACTAGCTGAGAACCTTCAGAAACAAAATTCAGTTGAGATTTTGTATTCATGATAGAGGTTGAGGAGGAAGCAACACTTCCAGTCATGTATTCCTTTTTGGCCTTTGATTCCCTCGAATTCTTTGATTCCAGAACGATAGTGGGCTCACTAAGATTGGATCCATTTCCAACAGAACTCTCATTTGAATATGACAACGTAGAGTGTTCCTCAGGAATGCCAGATTTTCGATTCTTCCTATGAAACCTTTTTTTAAGCTGTTTCAATGTGATGCTATCATCCAAGTCACTGACCAAACCATGGTCTGGATGTGGAACAGATTCATCTTTTTCAGATTTTATTTCCCTCAGAGTCGTATCCACTTCTGCATTTACCGGCTTGAAATGCTCATCAGTATGACTAGATTTTCTTTTCCTCTTCATGAATCTATCTTTAAGCTGCCTCAACGTCGTCGCATCATCCAAATCATTTTCCAGTGCACTGGAATCAGGAACAAACTCATCTGGTTCCGCTTTTACTTCTCGTAATGTCCGATCAACTGGCAAATAGGCATTTACATTATTGTTGTTTGTTGTAGTATGTTGTGTTGGTGCTTTGGCATCTATACTCTCACATACGTCCTTCAATAGTTTGAAAGAAAAATCTTGCCTCCGATGATTCATATTGAGAACTTTAATTACAACACCGGCTCTTATAGCTTGGATGAAATGTTCGTGACCACATCTCCTTAATTCCATGATTGCCGAAAAAATCGTAACTTTCTCTCGCTTCTCAACACACTTAAACCGCCAACAATGTGGTGGTAGGCCAGCAATGCAAACAGCCAAAACACTACAAAGAGTTAACATTATCGTCACGTTCTCATGAAAATAGCTAGGAAAATTATTTTACACACACCTACATTATGAAAGCTGTAACAACGACCCTAGATAACAGAAGCAAGCAGACTACCTTCTAAGCAATGTCTAAGCATAGTAGTCATGAAAATTTCAACTTTAGATAAACGTAAGTATCGTCAGGAAAAAGAGTAATAACTTAAGAAAATAATAATTCAGCTATTAAAGGAACACTTAGACTCTATTTTTCTAAATGTTCAAAGTGATTTTCTTCAGATCTAGCGCCTCAGCAAAGTCCAAAAATTATAAACCCTAAAATTTGGGTCAACTGAACTACTATTTGGGCAAAAAAAATCACATAAATGAGGATAAAATCTGAAATCCATAAATTATATGAACCCAAAACAGAAAATGCGAGGGGAAGATTTACACTAAAACATGATACACTTTAAACGCAAAAACCAATACGCCACTTACATCAAAAAGTCAGATTCGAAAAGCAAGCGCGAAGCAGCTAAATCCCTGATATTCCACAGCAATCGAAGCTAAATGAAGAAAATTGAAATCAAGCTACATATACAAACCGCAAGTAATCGAATCGTGGTGGGTAGATCCGAAGCCCACCTTACTGAAGCCGAGAAGGGTTCTTAGAGAGAGAAAGATGTATGCTTTAGGTGAAATTTTTCTGCGAGCTGTTTCAACCTTATTGGGGGCTGGGCTGTGTGAAGAAATAATATCGCGGTAAATGGCTTGGCGGGAGATAGGGATTTGTTTTGCCCGCGTTTGTTAGGGCGTGTTTGGTAGGGTGATCCCAATTGCCGAAATAGACTATTTATTGAAAATTTATAATATTGAAATTGAAAATATAATTTTTTTTTTTTTTTTAAAAAAAATAATATTCATTCTAATTCATTTTTCCTCTTCAATCCCAGTATCCCACCAACAAAATTTTAAGAAATATATTATTATTACATATTTTTCAAAAAAAGTTATTGTTCAACATCTCTTATATTTCTAAATACAAATCGTATCGATCAATTATTATTCCTAATTATCAATCTTATCAATCATTTTTTTTTTATATATCAAATTAATTTTAATTATTTTATATGTATTTTATAGTTATTCACAGTCTAAATTTATCAAACTTTTTTCGTCAAAAACAAACCTTCCAATTTTATATTTCATTTTTTGGACGAGACAATTTTTTTCTTTTTTAAAAANTATGATAAGAAAAGCAATAAACTATCATCAAGTCAATTAGAAAAGAACAGCAAATGGAAAAAAGAGCAAGCAATGAAAAACTAAAATTATGATCATCTAAAAATCTTCCACTACTAACCTTCGTTTATAGTATTCTCTTAATAAAAACTAATGAAAAAAACTACTACTTGAAAGCTGAAAGATATCATTAAGATAGATAGATACATGTGTTCATTTAACGGAGTTGTTTCATCATACAATATGATGGAACTACAAAAAAAAAAAGCAGAATCTGTAAAAAACACTAGACAGGAATTGGTAAGCCCTTCTTGGCCATGCTATCAAGAATTTCATTTAGAGCCTGACACAGCCCAAATATCTGCCAAACCAAGAAACAAACGTCAGCAGCACATTGGATTTGAAATAGATCAGTTTATATCTAGGGTAACAAATATATATTATTTGTTTTAGAAAAGGAAAAAAAAAAAATGGATTTGATATATTTGTGTTTCACAAACAGCATCTATTATCATGCAAAACATTTCAGTCTATATATTATGTTTCTCATTTGGACTGCTGAATGGGATTTGGAAAGCAAAATCTTTATAAACCGATTTTTGCATTCGTGAAAAACGACTCAAGACAAATAGAATGCATAACCTGTTGATCCCATTGCTGCATTTCCTCCGTGTCATCCTCAAAATGTATGACAGCTTCAACCTAGTAAAGCAATTCAGGTGTGATTGGTAAACACATAATAAGAGCATAATTTTAAACATATACATAACACAAACAGAAAACGTAGAATGAACATAGACAGGAACAAATCATTGTAACATAGATATATATCAACCTCACTAATAATAATATTATGGGAACTCGCTATAAAATGTGGAAAACAAAAATCAGACAAGTTTTTAAAAGAAACTTCTACCTGGTCAATAGATCCCCTCATCCTATCTTCGCATATCATTTTTGAAGCTATTTTCTCGGCCTGCAGTAAGTAGAAACTTTTGTGGGAACTCGTAGAATTGCAAGCAATAGAAATAACAAAATGTACCTTGGGCATAAAAAGTGATACTTTGAACAAAAAGAGCTACAATGGAGAAATTTAACCAAGATTTACCAGATATCATTATGACCAAACTCCATATTCATTATTATGAAACGTTAGTACTGGAATTTGAAGCATCAAGTATGATAGCTGGACCACTTATATTCGAGAGTCTACTAGGTATGATAGAAACATAAGTTTTCAAGACGTACATTGTTTGAAGAATAGAAAGTGATGAACTGAAAAAAAAAAAATCCCATCTCTACAATTACCAAATCTTTTTTGGTAGTCAATAGGACTCGGTTTCACCAGTTGTGCTTATTCAAGTACAATGTAAATTTGTGGCCTTAGTGCAAAAACAAACATACATAATTCACTGAATCATTCCATCGAGCTAAAGAAACTATTAATATCTTCAGCAACAAAGAAAGACAAGATGCCCCAGGGATAGCAAAAAGATATCATCTAGATATTGAAAATTGTAGCATTTTAGTTTCTTATTGGTGATGAAGTAGCATTATATTTGGTCGATGGAAAATAACCTTTTGTGGAGCAATTCCCAGCAATGTGCCCAACTCTTCAAAGCTGAAAACAAAAATAATAGAAAAATTCATTAATACAGACTAGACAAATATAATGTGCACCATTTACTCAATGAAGAAAAAAATAAAAAGTTCACTGGATAAAGAATCTAGAACCCACCTAATATTTGTGTAGAGTTTGCTAGCACTCAGGAGATTGTGCTCGATCATAGCACGATCAAGAACAGTAAAATTGTCAGGCAAAAGTGCTTTCTGCCAGCAATCCAAAATAACATGTAAAAAGAATGCACAAAGCGACTGCAGATAGAGTTTATTTATTCTTCTCTAGCGGTTTTGATAAATAACCTGATGTGGCTTCAACTCTTCAGCGAAAGCATCAATTTCTGGTTTTCTCAAAATTCTCTCCAAATAAACCTGAAAATCCCAATGTCAGGACTAAAATGACAAGCACACTTAACTAAAACAATTGCATGTTTGGCAACCAAGAGTTAACAGATTACCTTCTGCAGGATTGGGTAAATCTTTAGCTTTGAGCACCGTTCATCCTGGTGAAAAAATGGAACAGAAAATATTAGATTTCAATATATTGCAAATACAAGCCCTAGATAGCTCCAACATCAGTCAGTGATGGAATGTGCATCTGTCACTGCATGTGAGAAATGTCTATAGAATAGCTCTTAACAGAAACATATTAAATAGCTCATAGAATAAGAAGTATTTGGCAGGACATAACATTTAATAAGCCTTCAATGGAGTTTCAGTAGATGAAATAAGAGTTAGCTACCACAATACATGTGTCCTCAGAGGAACACATTTCTAAACTGCCAATATATCTGAGAAATGAAAATTTTGTACTTTATGGTGCATAACTCATAGATAACTTTATATATATAACTCAAGCTTCAAGACCTCATAAAATAAGTAATGTTTTCAAAACTGATAATTGTGCAGGACATCATACAAAGCCAATGAAATAACTAAAATAATAAGCAAAGCATAAACGGCAATCTTTCTAGAACAAATGAAAAATATCATGAACTCAACAATATATACCTCTTCGTGGCACAAACAAGAACCAAGAGAAATACAAGAAAGTGAAGACCCAAATTTTGGAAAAGACTGATAAATAATATGATATTGCTTCTAGAAACTAGCATCCATTGGTTCTCTTGGGTTTCATCTCTAGCCTACCCCAACTTGCTTGGGACTAAAAGGCTATGTTGTTGTTGTTGTTGTTGTTTGTGTGTGTGTGTGTGTGTGTGTGTGTGTCAATCATCTAAAGCTAAGACAAATTGAATAAGTAGCTCAGAAACCTTGTACAGGGTAGCAAGCACACGAGAACGCCGGGGTCCTGCAGCAGCCAAAATTGTGCAGGTAATAGCAGCAGCTAGAGCTTGCTCCAAAGCTTCTTCATCAATCTCTCTGTCACAGAGTAACAGAAAAATTCATAAGGGACTGAAAATTATACAGAGAGACTCACAAATTCAGACAATCTAACCATCAAGATGAAGACATCTAAATTACATTATACACAAAGAGATTGCTATGGCCGAGGTTTGACAATTTGAAATATCTACACTACATTGAACATGAATTAAGGTTCAATGATGATGTTCCAATTCATCACTCAGATTAACACTCAACAAATCGTTAATCATTTAAAGCTAAAGCTGCCGATGTCGATAATGGCAAATAGAGCTGCATAATGAGATGCGTATTGGAAGGTTTGAATATGAGAAGAACAGGCTGATAATTTATGTTCGAGAAGTATAGATAATCAAAGTTATTCCTCATACTTACTCATCTTCGATCTTCCGCTTCTCAATTTGGGAAATATCATAATACCGAAGAGCAGCTTCTAAGAATTTCCTCTTCAAATCAAGTATCCTTGCATAGCAAACCTAGTAAAGGTTAAATGAAAAAAAAAGTAAATAAAGTCAGGAATATCATAACTGAATGTTGACATATCAAAGCAGTAAACTAAAATATACCAACCTTGTATTGCAAATTTAAAACTTCATGCTGACTGTTGCTCACCAAAAATGAAGCTTTGTTTATAAAAGCTTCTGCATTGACCGCATCATCATCCTGCAAAAGAAAACACAAACATACTGAGCACAGTAACATCTCAATTTCTTCTGACCAAGTCCAATGGAGTAAAAATCTCACACAAATTCATTATTCAGGATTGATACCCCTATTAAGCTTAGAATTCCAAGTTGCTTACACCATATATACTATAGCAACTAATGAAAAATGCCTACACCACATCGTACTTCAAGTCAAATAATTGATATAGAACTAGGCCATCACCTACCTCAAGGTAAAGACGAGCAATCTGTACACATTTTGAGAGCCTGAAGGTATCATCAATCACCCTGCACAAATACGAGAACTAATGAGTCCAAATGTTGTCTATTAATTAGCACTAATATTACTCCAGCGGATTTTTTCTTTAATACCTCATTCCTGAATCAAGATCAATGCCGCTGAGCATCTGTGCAGCTTTTGACCACTCTTGCTCAGATTCATATAACTCGGCAAGTTTTTCTCTAATTATCAGCACCTGTATTGACGCATGTTAAATTGCAATCGCGCTGCTAAATTTGGGGATAATAACTGAGATGGTCAGTGAGAACATAAATAAAAATACAGCAATCATGATGAAATATATTTGATGAACATTGTGAAAATCACAAAGCAAATGCATTTAGAGAAATAATACTTCATTACATTCCTTGGATATGAACTACAACTAAAAAAGCAAAGCACCATACTGAATGCACATATGCTGAACAGGAGTAACAGGAAGACACAATGCCCTTTTTGCTTCAAGCTAAAAGTCCACAAATCAGCACCATCCGACAATACATACTTAAAGGTCTTCCGAATATACCAGAAAATTCATATTGCCTTAGAAACATCCCTCGAAGCAGTACAAACATCTCGAGCCAACTCAAAAGAAAACATAGAATAATGACAAGG